ATTCCATTCCATTCCATTCCATTCCATTCCATTCCATTCCATTCCATTCATCTTTCATTTCTAGTTAGAGGTGGACTCCAGGAAGGATTGAAACTCCAGGAAGGATTGAAAAGATGGGGATAGTGATGGGGAAGACTGGAGAAGGCATTTGGCATTGCGCTCACAGACTCACATCCTGATGGAGGATTTCAGCCACCCAGATCTTTGTGGAGAGAGCAACATGGCAGATGGCTAGCAATCAAGGAGACTTCTGGAGTGCAACTTCCTGGTCCAGATACTGGAGAGACCAACCAGAGGTGAAGCATTACTGGATCTGGTGCTCACGAATGCAAAGGAGATCATTCATTAAAGATATTAAGATGGATGGCAGTCTGGGCTTTAGTGACCACACCCTGGTTGAGTTTGTGATCTTGAGGGATGTGGGCCTGCCAGAGAACAGTCAGGATGTTGAAATTTAGGAGAGCAAATTTTGGGCTGTTAAAGGCATTACTGGAAAAGATCCCCTGGGATCCCCTCCTTAGGGATGTAGGAATGGATCAGAGCTGGCAGCTCTTTAAGTACACCTGTCTGAGAGCACAAGAGTTCTCCATTCCAGCATATAAAAAATTAAGTTGAGGAGGCAGGAAACCAGCTGGGCTGAGCAAAGTCCAGCTGGTCAAACTGCAGAATAAGAAGGATAAGTATAAGCAAGGGGAGCATGGATAAGTAGCCTGGGAAGTATATCAGGGTGCTCTTCAGACCTGCAGAGATGGGATCAGGAAAATCAAGGCGCAGATGGAACAGAGCTTGACAAGGGACATGAAAAAATAATAAGGGATTCTTTAGCTACTGTCATCAGAGAAGAGACAGGGAAAAGAGAGTGCACCCCCTCTGATAAATGAGAAGGAAGAACTAGCTACAACAGACATGGAGAAGGCTGAGGTACTCAGCAAGTTTGCTGCCTTCACTGGCAGTGAGGATTCCTAAGTCTCTCAAGTCTCTGAACCTCTACCCAGGGGCTGAGAGAGCAAAATTCTTCCTGCTGTAAGAACAGAGCAAATCCAAGACTGCTTTGTGAGTTTCGATGTGTACAAGTCTATGGGGCCAGACAACATGCATTCCAAGATCCTGAAGGAACTGGCTGATGTGGCTGCCAGACCACCCTGCATCATATTTGAAAAGTCATGGTTGTCAGGTGAGAGTGCCAGTGACTTGAAAAAGGGAATAATTACTCCCATTTTTAAGAAAGGGAAAAGGAAGACCTGGGAAATGACAGAGTGGTGACTCACCTTTGAGTCTGGGAAGATCATGAAGCAGATCCTCCTGGAAGAAATGTTAAGGTACATGCAAGGTGATCTACAACAGCTAGCCTGACTTCTCAAAGGGCAGATCATTCTTAACCAATCTGGTGGCCATCTATGATGGAGCAATAGCATCAGTGAACAAAGAAAGAGGAACTGATGTCATGTACTTGGGTTTCTGCAAGGCCTTTGGTATGGTCTCACATCACATCCTTATCTCTAAATTAGAGAGATAAGGATTTGAAGGGTGAAATATTTGGTGTATAAAGAATTGGTTGTATGGTCACAGCCAGAGAGTTATGGTCAATGGCTCTGTGTCCAGGTGGAAGCTGGTCTTGAATGATGTCTCCTGGGTGTATGTACTGGGACCAGTACTCTTTGACATCTTTATTGCCTAGACAGTAGGACTGAGTGCACTCTCAGCAAATTTGCATATGACACCAAGCTGAGTGCTGCAACTGACACAATAGAAGGAAGGGATGCCAAACAGAAGGATCTGGACAGGCTTGAGAAGTGGGTCCATGTGAATTGAAGGAGATTCAACAAGCCAGTGTGCAAAGTGTTGCACTTGAGTAGGGGCATCCCCAAGCATTGCAGACTGGAAAAGAATCTCACTAACAGCAGCCTTCTGTCAGTTCCCTCTGTACTCTCAGGTGGATTCCATTCAACCCCATGGGCTTACAACAGACCAGGTGATGTAGCAGTTCACTGTTTCCTCCTGAATTGTGGAGGTTTGTTCTGCTCTCCATCCCTGGCTTTCTGATCAGAGGTCTGAGCACCCAGAGGATGACTGGCTTGACTATTAAAGACAGAAGTAAAGAAAGCATTGAGAACCTCAGCCCTTTCCTCATCTTCAATAAAAACATTCCCTGCCACATCCAATAAAGATGGGAGATTCTCCTCAAGATGTTAGAATAGTTCTTTAAACAAACAATAGCATTCATATCTATTCTTGGAGAACTTGAAGTATCTCTAGAATAAAAAGAGAGATACAAAAGGAACAGTGCAGATACCAGCAGAAAAAAAAGCATTTATCTGTGGGTTAACTAGAATCTTTTAACCACCTCCAAATTACCACTGCAATTCTATAGATGTTCAGTAATTTTGACCACTGCTTTTTTCCTATGAAACTATCCTCAGTTTATATGAAGCCTCATAATGTATTCTATGAAATAAGTAATAGTAAAGCAAAGCAAAACAAAACAAAACGTGGGGAAGATTTCCTGAGCAGAACAGCTAGATTAAAAAAAGAGAAAAGGGTAAAACAAATGTAATTGTTGATGCAGACAATCTCTTAGATTTGCTTCGTGAAAATGTTCATGTAGTAGCTCAAGTTCCTGAATCTGAGTGTGCTCCCTTTGCCTTCCTGCAAAGTACTGCAATCACCTTCTGCTCTAAAAAGATAATTTAAATAAACAGCTCTCTAATAACATGTAAAACTCAGCTTGAGTTGACCAGATCTCATATTTTAAAGTGATGAAGATATCATTATCAGAAGTAGAATGTAGCATTTGAGATATCTCTCTATGAATAGATTATTTTTCTTTTGAGTATAACATATTATGAAGTCACAAATGTAAAAAATGTGTCTCTGTATTTCCATCTTACAGAAGAAACTAAATTCGTGGCCTCAAATACGACAGCATAGGAAAAGCAGTAATTTAAATGGGACATGCAGCTTGATGTTAATGAATGCTGGCCATTCTGTATGTACATTTAAATCTTTAAATTATTTATGTGTGAAAGATAGTACCAAAGTTTTTCCTTGTAATACAGTAGTAGCTTTGAGATCCCGATATTAGTAATGATAATTATGTACAGCACACGATGTTAATGGCTAATTACTGAACAATTTAATGAAAACTGCCTAAGTAAGAATCGCATAAAACAGTTCAGTTGGATGGGATCTGCAAACATCATTAAGTCCAACTGCCTTATCTCTTCAGGGCTAACTGAAAAATAAACATGTTGTTGAGGGAATTGTCCAAACGTCACTTGAATGCTGACGGGCAGGGGGCATCAGCCTCCTCCCTAGGGAGCCTGTTTCAGTGTTTGATCATTCTCACAGTCGAGAAACAGTTCCTAATGCCTGGTCTGAACCTCCCTTCGTGCAGCTTTGTGTCATTCCCATGTATCCTATCACTGGTTAGTAGGAAGAAGAGACTGGCACCTCCCTCTCTGCTTTCCCTGTTGTAGAGAGCAATGAGACTGCCTATCTGTCTCCTCCAGACTGGACATCCCAAGTGTCTTCAACCTCATAGAATATGTTTTCCAGCCTGGAAGGCATGTTTACTGACTTTGTTACCCTCCTCTGGATGCTTTCAAGTACCTTACCATCCTTTTTGTATTGCTGAGGTCACAATATTCGAGGTGAAGTTGCACAAGTTCTAAATATAGTGCAGTAATCAACTCTTTTGGCTGGCTGGCTATGCTGTATTTAACACATGTCAAAATGGAATTTGCTCCATTTTGCTGCATTCAAATCATCGATAAGAATGTTGAGCAGAACTGACCCTAGAATTGACCGGTGCTAGTGATTATCTGCCCGCTATATGAATCTCCATTTACTACAACCATCTGTGCTCTGCTGTTGAACGAGTAAATCACCAAGCATAGTGTGAAAGTGTTTACCTCACAGTTGGACAAAATGTCCAGAAGAATACTGGGAGGAACGATCTCAAAGGCCTTACTAAAATCCAGAAAGATTATCTCTGCCACCTACCCTTCAGACACCAAGTGGCTGACCTTCTGACAGAAAGAGGTCAAATTACTAATGCAGGAATAATTGATGAACTGCAGGATTCATTAATGAACCCCTATTGAGTATGCCTGATAATATCTTTGTTCTGTACATGCTTTTCAATATCTCCCAGGACAGTCTTCTCTATAACTTTTTCAAGGACTGAGGTTAGAAACATTTTTGTAGCTTCCTGGATCTTTTGTTATGTCCTTCTTGTAGATGGATATAACTTTGACTGTCTTCCAGTCATTAAATAAATCCATTCCTTGCATGATAATTACATTGCCCAAGTGCCCATAGTAAAAGGAATTGCAGTTTTCCCATAGGAATGTGTCAGTCTGTAACAAATGATTCTTTCTCTAACAAATGACTCATCAATTTCTTCTTGGACAGTTGTAAATATAGAGATGATTACATTTTCCCTTCTTAAGAGAGTACATCCACAGCTATAACAAACTGACAGTAAAATACCTCAAATCCTAAACTATAGCTTACACCTGTGGGTCCAGGAGGTCCAGGGGGCCCAGGGGGTCCAGGGGGTCCAGGGGGTCCAGGTTTCCCAGGAGAACCATCAGCACCAGCTTCTCCTTTAGGGCCTATTGATCCAGTGACCCCAGTGTCACCCTAAAATAGAAGGTCAGTCTACTGTTAGTTATACTGAACATGCACAAGCCGAGGCAAGTAAGCACTTGGGTTTCAAAATCATAACCTACTACACTTCTTAGCCCTTTCCTTTGGTAAATTGCAAGTAACATGTTGTATTGGAGTGATACAGTTTTCCCATAAAGTCACTGTCCTTTTTTTTTTTACCTTTGCACCAACAGAACCAGGAAGACCTCTATCACCCTGTAAAAGAAAAGCAATTCTTATTATTTAAAGTAAGAATATTAATCATGAAAAAAAAAAAAAAAAAAAAAAACAATTGTGACTATGATTGCTTAATTTAAATACCCACAAAATTCTGTTCTGTTTAACTTGATGTCAAAATGTGCATTCCATGAAATATTAGACCCCTTAATTAAAAAGAAAACAACCCATATTTCAGAAGTTATAGTAACAGGTGAATAGTTCTGGTCTGGTATGCATACAGATGGCAATGTCATATTTCAGTTTTGCTGGAGACTTTGTTGGTCTAGAGAATCAAACACTATGGATCACGTCTTCATGATTCTCCACTTACATGAGGAAAATCTCATGGACAGTAACCAGAAGCCGAAACTGATGCCACGGAGGTTGTCTGGGACACCAAATAAAGGATTACCAGTATGATTACCAGATGATTACCAGTATGGTTTTAGGTTCTTCTGCAGTAATTAAGTTATTTGATTTGCTTTTATATACTTCCCTTAAATATCATTTTCTAATGGATAGAAAGGACAGAAATGCAGCGTGCAAATATTTATGTGGCATTGAAGCGAATGGGCTTAATTGTTATATTGGCAATCTCTTGTCCTTACACATTCAACAAAAACTGCATGAATGAGATCTGAAAAAAATGGGTAATCATCAGCATCAAAATGATAGCAATGACTTCTTCCAAAATTAATGACAAAAAAAACCCCAAATATATTTAATATCAGTCCAGGGAACAAACTGGCTTTACTTTCCAATCTTCGGTACCTTCAGCAGCTTCTCCCACTAGTCTTCTTTATATTAACCGTGAAAAATGTTTATAATTAGATATAGCAATATAGATTAAGCCAAGGCTTTAAAAAAAAATAAATAGTAGAAATGGAGAAATCCTATTATTCCAAGGTGCTGGGGATTGTATGGAGCAGGAGCAAATATACAGTACTTCACTTTTAATTACATTTTATCAATATATGTAGAAAACATAATCAGGAAACAGGTACAGCAAGGGGAAACAATCAACTTCTTGCACTTTGAGTTTTATACTCTTTTTGAAAATTATTATTGTTTGTGGGAATTCAAGAGAGGCTATTCAGAACTGATGCTGTGGAGCAAGATAAACAGCATGAGAAAGCAAGGCTGACAACCAAGGACATCTCTAGAAGAAGAAAAAAGCAAAAGGAAAGGCTCAAGCAGCTGGATGTGCGCCTACATGCACAGTTAAGAAGTGTCAGTGGAAGACTTTGTTGGCATGTAAAGGCAGATGGGAAAGTTGTAAGGGTGGATGGGAAAGTTAAAAAAAGGAAACTTGTGAGTGTACATAAGTGATGTGAGAACCTGTAATAAATGATTTGGATCGTTCACATCTGAGTCCGTGCCTGATTGCCACAAGTTTTCTTCCAATTAATACAATTTCCACATCAAGATTTTTTCCAATAGACAGAAATTCAAGTCCGTTGTTCTTTCAGTAGACTTCTTTCTGCTTACACTACTGATTATAGTAGGAACATTCTAATAGTTACTATTCAAACATGCATTCTTTATTTTCTGGATGGTTACTAGATCCCATCTGTGCTGCAGTTCTACTAACCTCAACCTTTTGAAATCACGGTTTAGAACCTTCATTCTTCACATGTCACGTTAAAAAAAAACCTTATTATTTAATAAATTAAAAAATTGTGTCAATGTTCTGGTTGTTTAGGAGTTGCTTTTTCATCTCCTTGTGGTATGTGAACTTTCAATGTGCTCTTGTGAATCTACTTTCAACTCTTGTGCATAAACCTTGGTATATAAGGTCACTGAAAAATGAAATTTTCCTGTAGTTATTTAAATCTGGGAGACACAATCACAGAAAGAGGGTTGTACAGGGCCTCTTAGGCCTTCCAATCCACTGTTCCCCTTGAAGCAGAAACATCACCATCTCTACATCAGGTCAGCTATGGCTCTTTCCAGACAGGGCATGAAAACCATTGAGAACGGAGCTTAGATATCTTTTCTGGGCAACATGCCACAGTTCTGCTTCCCAGGTAGTGAATAGGATCCTCCTAAAGGGCTCTTAAGACGCAGTTTGTGGCCATTATAATTTGCTGCATCATCTGGCACAATGAGGAACTGTTTGGCTTTATCAGCTTTGCTTTATTGGGCCCTTCAGACATTTGCAGACAGCTGTTAGGTCACACCTTTCTCTGCTTTTAGCCAGATGTAACAGCCAGATGTAACTCCTCCCCTTGTGCTGGCTGTAGTACTTATTTAATCCTGCATGAAGCCATTCAGCACGTCAGCAGAAAACTAAGTAGTCCCCTGCTACCATTTGTAGTATCTCACCAAATGCTGCATGAAGGCTTGAGTTGCCACCAGTGTGGGGCAGGGATATTGTGGCTGAGAGTGACAGCACTGCAGCACCCATCAGTTAAGACAGGTATGAACTACTACAGAAGTACACACAACTTGCTGTTAGTGGTCAGCAGGCCTGCTCTTGTGCAGCTTGGGCTAAAGCACATGGAACAGACTACAGAATCCAAACTTAAGTAATTCCAATGCCCATATACACATACAACTAGGAGCTGGAGTTCTTCCTACAGACTTGCCAGTTTTTTATTGGTAAATCCCAATCATACTGCATTTAGAGCATTTCACGCTGCAGAAAATGAGATTGCAACCACCTGGATTTCTCAAAATGCCTTTTATGATATGTTGTAATAATCTGGATTTTGAAAAAAAAAATGAAGCCAGCCAACACTGTGTTGCAAGGATAATAATTTATGGCTTTTTTAGCTTAAAGATATCACATTGAAGTAGGAGCAACACAAATGTTTACCTTACCTTTTCTCCCTTCTGTCCTGGTGGGCCAACCACTCCATCAAGTCCAGGAAGACCTTGCGGACCCTGTAGATGATAGCAGATCTATAGCAGGTGTGATTTGATAGTCTTTTTCTTAGGAAGGTATTTTGGACCAACTCATGAAACAGCAGTATAAAATACTAAAGGTGATGGTCCTTCACATGGCACCAGGAAGCAGCTCACAAGTGCTAGCACTTGTATTTCTTGTCTTCTGACAGTCTGGTTTTGTATCAAAGCATTATTTAAATGTATACTAGTAGTAAATTATATCAAACAATCACATAATAAAACAAAAAGTAATTAAATATTATATAATATAAATATGATGTTTGCATGTAAAATAGCCAATTTATGCAAACTGGAACGGGTTGCCCAAGGAGGCTGTGGATGCCCCATCCCTGGAGGCATTCAAGGCCAGGCTGGATGTGGCTCTGGGCAGCCTGGTCTGATGGTTGGTGACCTTGCACACATCAGGGGGTTGGAACTAGATGATCATTGTGGTCCTTTTCAACCCAGGTCATCTGTGATTCTATGATTATGATTCTACAATCCTGCTTTAGGGCAGGAACAACATCAAGGCTTGTCTGTGAATTGTTACTCACTTCAGGGCTCAGTTCAACAGCGGATCCGTCTTCCCCTGATGACTCAGGATGCCCTACATCTGAATCAGGGACTGGTTTTCCTGGAAGGCCATGCGATCCTGGGCTGCCCTAATTAAATTGGTAGCATTGTTAGAATGCCCTGACATATATGTTCAGTTCTCTTTTGGCCAAATTCATTTATTTGTTACACAAAAATGGGAGAATTTCATACAGACTGTTCATATTCATAAAACTCTTGGCTTTGGTCCCTATCCCTCTTCCACTTCTAGTTTCACAGATGTACTTCTTACTCATGATCACACTGTCTTTCTCCATTCTCGCTCTCTGAATTGTGCCTCTTTGTAATAAGTTATATTTTGAAATTAAAAAATGAGAAATTCTGTGCCTGCTTTCTGTAATTCCAAAAACATCTTAGAGATATTCCACTGATTAATCTGAAATGAATTCAGGGGGTCACTGAACAAAGGAAAATGGTTAGGTATTTACCACTGATTTCCAACTTCTTCTTCTATGCTATTAATAGAGCACTCAGGACCTTACTCATGGCTAAGACCTGACTGTGCTTGGCTCTTTTTTAATCCAGAACCCTGCTTTTGTAAGTACTGTCTCTCAAAATATATCAGTTCTCAGTGAATGAGAAATACAGCAGTGCAGCACTTCAGTCTCTAAAACAAGGCTTACTTGAGGTCGTTAACACAGTATGGTGAAAGTGACAGATTTAGCTATGTTAAAGAAGTACTCATCATCCTACTTGTCCCATTCTGTGTGTGGAGCCTGTTGATCCTGCACAACCAGCTCTCAACTACTGCATTTTACAACACTACCTACTGAAATGAAGCTAGATACTATAGCTGCAAAATGAAGTGTTTTAGTTGATTCCTAAGTTAAGGAAGCTCCTTCTGAAGCTGAGGTAGCCATCTCTAGAAGATGCTTTGACTACCCTAAATAAACCAGTGGTGAAGTATAAGTTAATGGCCCAGGATTCAAGTTTTACCCAGTATGAATGCTCCTTTTTAACTGTTGCTGAGCCAGAACATTTCTCTTTCCTAGCCAAACTTCATGCAACAATACTATTCTTCTTCACAAAGGCAAAAACATAGGAAAGTGCAAACAGCAGTAAAAATCAAATAACAGTGGAAGGTGTTGTGTAAAGTATTTCATGCAAACAAGCACACATTTTATAGCAGACACTCTGAATTAAAATAAATAAATGATGTAATTCCTATCTCCTTTTTACTGCCTTCTCAGTGCCAGATTAAAAGCATTTTCTCCTTTAAGGAGTTTTCTTGAAATTACTTCTTTGTTGTCCTTTTCCTTTCTCACATTTCTTTCCCACTTACGTACACTTATGTCTTTGAGATCTTTACATGAAATCCCCAGTGTTTCCTACAAAGCATTTCTGAACACTAGGTATTAAATATATATTTATATTTCTTTGGGAAATTGTAATATTGTCAATTAGAAAAGAAAATGGATCATCTACGATCTGGATGGGTAAAATGAAGCTCTTTGTTAAGCTCATGTGAAATAAGCTTCACGATATACTTACTCTTAAAATCTCAGTCTCTCTATCAGCATATCCAGAACCCAGTTCTTCAGGTTTCAGTCTAATCTGAAATTAAGTCAATCCAGTTTTAAAATATTGCTTCCAAAGATGAAAAAATATCACTTGTCAGTTGCAGCCAATACTGTTCTAGTCAATATAACTGTAGTAGAATGTCACTGATGAAAGAACTTATAATTCAGTAAGAATATTTCAGTTGTGTCTGGTGATTTCATATTATTGTATTTCATGAATACCCATCTCTGTATTTACCTAATCATGCTTTATGAGTTGTGACACAGTCCTTCAGGACGCACATAGAATGTAACTATTTAAACTGATTGAAGACAAAAGGATATCTCAGACAAATTTTGACTTCAGAAGGACACCTGTCACTATTACGAATATAATAAAAATCATATCCAAAACTTAGCAACTGTTTCCTACAATATCCTAGTTCAAAAGCCAAATTCTGAGATTCTTACAATTGCAATCCAAAGAAACTTTTTACAATGGGAAATTGATATACCAAAGCATTTTCCAAAACATTTCATTTGAAAATATTGTTTAGTTTTAGTATTACAGTTTGACTGTAGTCATCCAAGTGGAATTTTCTTTTCTAACCTTGGTGAATCTATGATATTTCTTGCCACAATTACATTTTACTGTGCATCTCACATTTTACTGTGCACTGTATGTCACTCCAGAATAAATGAGTAAGTACAAAGTTTGGTTACATTGTGGTACTTAGTAAGTAGATTTCCTCATTTTATCACTACAACCTGTAATGCTTTTTCCACTTCAATCACATAATGATTATTTATCCATGCATTTACCTTTACCTACTGTCAACACTATGAATGTCTCTCTTCATTTTATTTCATAACTGCTACCATCTCTTGTTCTCTTTCTTATACAATCTCTGCCATTTTTGCTGAGGTTAATTTGAAGCATCTCTACTTAAGGGATTCGTGGCTTTTACAACCATTTATTCTCAACTTCTGTCAAAAAATCTTTAATAATGTATCTTTTCATTCTCATCTATGCATGTGTCTTTTTCTGTAGAACTCACTAAGATAGATTTGGCCTTCGTGTTTTAAAATCTTTTGGAAAAGTGATGTGTCTCCGCATCACTCAAATTGAGGACAATAAACAAAGGGCAGACCAAACAAATCATACTTGCAAAATATTGTGTTTGCTTAATATGCATGTTGTTTCTCATCAAACAATTGGCACTCATTTAATTTCAATTTTTTTTTTTTTTTTAAAGTTTTGTATATAACTGCAAGTGTTTGATCCCACTTGTTTTTTTACCTGATACATCTGATGGACTGAATGAGGAGAAAAAATACATTGTTGTCTTCCCCCCATCTCACTTCTCTTGCATTTGACATTCATCAATTCAATTCTGTGGAGTTCTTCAATGCACATTTTGGACATCTGCCCTGCATGATGGTCCTGGTTTCAGGACAGGTGTATATTTAAAGGAAAAGTAGATCAAATGTAGGTCTGCTTGTATCACAAGGCATCCCTCATCTTTGGGAGTGGAAAACGCAGCCTTTGTGCTACTCTACAAATGCATGTATGTAGTACATATTCCTGCCCACCTGTCCTGACACTGCAGGGACACAAGGTATGGTCTTCCCACCTTGCAGCAGGATTAAAAACAACCTGGTTGGCATAAAGCTTTCTTAAAAGACAGAAGTCAGAGAAATACAATTCACAGTATTAGCTTTTAATGGTCTATGCTTCAACCCCAGTTATGTCAATTTCTTACCTGGACTTACATCTCTTTCCTTTTTCTTTCCTCAGAAAGAGAAAATACTTTCTGAGTATTTTAATTATCTTTTCTGCATTTACAGAGCAGCAAGATCTGAATTTCAGCTGCATCTTGGTCTCTTTCCCTCTACATTTGAGAATTCACTGGATAAATGCATTCATCCATTCTTTTGCTCCCTGTAGCTTTCCCAAATGGTTGCTATAGTGGGAGCACATTTTCTTAATTTAGGTCTGTTTTCGCTGTCTGGCATCATGTCCATTTCCATTCACTTTGATATATCCACACAGCTCCTGTCAGTATTTTGTGCTTGTTTTTCTGGAATTTTTACTACTCTATATGTACTATAATGATGAAAAAAAATCCAGTTTTCACATTTGGGTCACAATCATGTCTAGTAACTCAAACTGTGTCTATTCTTTACGAGCACCTCATGACTGTATCTCTGCACAAGAATCGAAGTGAAAAAGTGACAGTCAAGGACAGAGAGATCCCTACTTCTAGTGAGACGCAGAACTCCATTCATTCCCAGCAGTGGCCTCTGTGAGGAGTCTAGAAGCTGTCCCATATCAGCTCCTGTTCCAGATGGCTCCAAAATGGACCTACTGCTGCCAGAGCTGAGCCTTGAGCAGTGCCTCTGTGAGAGCATGTTTGAGAAGAGGAAAAAGTGCTATGCAACAGCAGCTGGGAGAGAGGAGTGAGATGACGTGAGAGAAACAGCCCTGCAGCTACCAAGGTCAGTGCAGAAGGAAAGCAGGATGTGCTCCAGGTACAGAGCAGAAGTTGTTTGTTTGTTTGTTTGTTTTTGCATCCATATTTGTGCTTGGATACAACCAAGAACTAGGGATACATTATTTTGAGTTATGGCAAATGCATCTAGAATTAACTGGGGATCTTTTATATTAGTTCTTTCCTACTGAGGTAATACATCAGATAAGAGGTGCTGGTTGATGCCCAGTGCTGATAGGGAAGACTGCAGGGCTGTTGCATCGTGTATCAGTCACTCAGTGACCACAGAGCCACAGGGATCCCAGAGAATCCCTTACATCCCAGAGAAAGGAGCAAGGTGAGAAGGGTTTGGCATAGTGTTTTTCTAAAAGGTTGAGGAGCAGATTCCCATCCTTATTCTTTTTTTCATTAATGATCATGCCTCAAAATGTGGAGCAATCTCTTTGGGGGGAAAAACATATTCTCAACAACTCAACAATTTGTACCTTACACCCCCAAGGGGTACACATGTATTCTAAAGCCTCAAAAGTGAAGTCATCTCCTCCAGGGAGAAACAGGTATTATCAACAAATCAAAAATTTGCTCCTTGCATACCCTAAAGGGTACTTACATATTCTAAAAAAACAATCCTCTTACCTCAGGCTCTGTCTCAAGGGGTGCACTCAAACACTCAAAGAACGACACTCTCACCTCAGACTATATCCTGTCCTGTGAGGTCAATTTAAATGTCTTGATCCAGTTATTGGAAGAGATGGTTCAACATATATATATGCTGAGGTTAAGGCAGGGGAGGCCAAATGCTGTCCAGTAATTTATTACAAATTCTAAGCAGCTAGGGAATGCAGGGAAGATGGGGAAGTTACTGATAGTAAGAGAGAAATCCTAACAAATGGCTTACAGAGTGAGGATAGTCATCACCAGTGAGTCAATAATGAAACAACATAATTAAATAGAAGGCATTAATTTTGGAGCAAACCTCATATATCTGCTACCATAATATTAGTCAGTAATCCATCATAGTTGTACCTGTTGCTATCATATTGATAAATTTTGAACTTATAACCCATCTTTGTCTCCTCAGTTCAGTAATGTACAGGTACACACAATTTCTAGATTATTTTTCTATCAAGAAGGACCCTACTAGGTATTTCTACTTGGACATTTACCAAAAAAAAAAAAAAAAAAAAAAAAAAAGAGCCTGATCTGGATTTTTGGAAGGCATCTCTGATAGCTGAAAGCTATCCAGTTATCTCCTCCTCTTGAGCACTTGTAAAAAATGTACTGGCAGCCTATAAAGAAGCTAGGTATAGAAGTAAACAGCATCTATTCATGTAATAAGTCTAACACAGAGATGTAATACAAGGAACACCAAGACGTAGATCAAGTTGACTCAACTTTGATCCTTTATAAAGTGTCCTAGTTGTACAGTCTCAATAGTTCATTAATCAAAGCATCTTTTACTTGTAAATATCAGGATACCTGCCAGTTACATTTCAAGAATTTTTCAGCTCCAGGTTCAGTTGTCAGGAGGCAGCCCACACTGCTTTCATAAAGGAATAAATAGGAGCTGCAGACATTCAGGAGTGCAGTCCACTCTGTCATTGCTTTTTCAAGATGCAGAACATAGGATTTACATCTTGGCTGGTCATTCAATTAAAAATGAGTTTATAACTACATTTTCACATTAGTCTGAGGACAACTAAGGAAAACCAGTGGCATGCAATACAGGCATGGATCATTCTGGAGTTTAGTCCTCTCTCCTTTTGGTTTTCTGCATGGATTCAACTGCTAATAAGACACTGACATAACAAAGTGCTTCTTTGCGTTTGGTCCTTCACACAGAAGTACTTGAAGAGCACCCACAGGGTGTATGCCACATTTCTTAAAAAAAAAAGCAGGACTTTCAGCTGTAAGGTAATCACTGTGGGGTAGAACAAGATGCCTAGTTTCAGCTAATTAAAAATCACGGGTTTTTGTGGTGAGGATTTATGTTGGTTATTTTTTTTGTTTGCTTCTCACTCCCTTTAATGCAAAATGGAAGTGGTGCAAAACTCATAGAAAATTTTTATATATGAATGAAAAATATAAATCCCCTCTCAATAGTAGAAATCATTATAGATCTGAACTTTGGCATAGTGTGAACACTTTCCAATTTGTTGTAATGAGAGGACATTCAAAAATGTACAAAGCAATGTGCTTTTTTGGTATGCTGCTATGATGTAATAGGTGAAGGCAACAGGTCACGAAAGCAATTAAAGTTCATGTGTTCCTGCTCTTGAGAAAAAAAAAGACAGGGTAGATATTAAATCCATAGTACAGACCTTTTCTCTGCTCACTCCTAGCAAGACACTAGCACCAGAGCCATCTTCTTCTCTTAAGATTTTCTGCATGACAGCTGTAGATTCTCTGTTGCTTTGTCCAGTTTCCACAACAGCTGAGTCTAAATAAGATAATCACTTATTACTGAGAGAGGAAAATTACTCTAATTCAGAGATTATTTATCTTAACATTCTGATTGCATTTAGTTACAAGAAAAATAAATTACTTAGATCATTACCAAAATACACAGAGAGAAACATTCCAAGAATTGGTGTTAGTCATTTTATAATTCTGAAATATTTAAAAGGACAGAAAAACAGAAGAAAAGAGAGAATAAAATTATATTTTGAAAGTTTACTTTAAACATCTTATTTGCCTCAAGATCATGTCTAACAGCAGCCTATTTTTCACCTTTGTAATGCCAAATGCCATGCCTCTCATTGACCTGAGCAGAACAGAGAGGACTTTTCTCCTTTCCTTTTCTTTGCCTAACTCCTGCTCAGTGCTGTAGAGTATTGCAGCCATAGCTCCACATGTCAGCTTTGTTTATTTATCTACCTATGTATTTAAATTTGAACTTTAAAATACAAACTCTTGTTCCATGACTTAAATTTCTATACTGTAGAAGGGTAAATTTATTCTCTGCATATTTAACAACGGCTGATGTAAGCATGGAGTGAAGTGAGAGATTAGTTGAATGGTGACTGTATTTGCTAACACTTATCTTTGCTGCTGTTAAGAATCTGTAGTGTAAGAGATTGCAGTTTCAGTGTTTGAGAAGCCAATCCTTTTCTAACACACAAGATCCTCAAAGTCTTAGGGTTTTCAGTTTCTGACAGCATCTAAGATATGTCAGTGGCTTTTCATGTATGGGAAAACTACTGACTCTGACCTACATAACATAAATGACAACTCTTCCTCCCATGCTCCCAAACAAGAAAGCAGACAAAAAAGAGGCAGTGCCTTGTTTAATTTTAGCTGGTTCAGAGGTTTCTTCTGCTCTGTGATGTCCTGAGAAATCATTTTCTTTCAAATAAGATAATATGGTTGGAGGTGCTTCCACTGCCTCAGCCAGTGAGTCTTCAGGCTAAAAAATGTAAAATCCCAAAAAACAGTTTAGAAAGAAGTCTTAGCACATGCTATAAAGCAAGAATCAACTGATCATGTTTCTCAAAGCATAGTAATTAAAAGTTCTACATTTATGAAGCAAACCAGAAATCCAGATCTCTCCCAAATAATACCTTTCAATTGCTATCATTACAACTGAAATTTACTAAATGTCAGCAGATACACACTCTTTATTTTAAAAAATTTTATTTCACCTCTTTTTTTCTTCCTGACAGTACACATTTAGCTTCTGCCGAGCATCAGATGTCACACAGATTTGGTCAGGATTTTGAGAAAAGCTAACACAGTTAGATTTGTTCTTCCAGACCAAGTGATCTACACTTGACATGCCTATGGAGATGGAAAAAAAATACAAGGAATATAAAGGTACTACTAGAGAACTAAGCCCGAAACTGTCTCAGGGTTGGTAAAGAGTGGTCAGTTTTGTAACCTGGTATAATCTGTGAAGAGGAATATAACTAGTTTACCCCCTGCAGGAGTTAGAGAACTGGAAAAGTGTCAGCTCAGTGCCATGACAATTATTTTATGAGGACCTGAATTTTTCATTTAATTAAAATTTAGATGTGATGCCATGGTAGTTTGGAACTCACTTAATGGGCAAAGAATTCTGCTCTTGAACCAGATCAACAAGTACAACATTTTGTAATATGGATTGCTAAAACATTTACTGAATGTTGTGTTTTAACCCTGGTAACCATACAAGCTCTGATGCAGACTCCTAATTACAATCCAGAACATACTTTAGAATCTCCATTAAAATATTTTTATATATATGTTACATTTTTTAATTTTTTACATTTCTTGTGCTCAGTATGTGAATAATACAAAAATAGCTTTAAAAATGATAAAATCTATTTGGAACATTTACTTGTAGATTATTCAATTTGCTTTAAAGCCAAAAGAATAATCCTCACTAGTACAGATTGGTAAGCCTTACTTTGGACACTGGAAAAATCATGAGGCAAAATCTCTTGGAACACATTTCTAGACATATGAAGCAGCAGCTAACCAGGAACAGTCAATGCTGATTAATGAAAGGTAAGTCATACCTGATCAACCTGATTGCCTTTTGTTATAAAATGACTGGCTTTGTGGGTGAGAAGAAAGAGAAGCACACAGCCATCCATGTCTCAGGCTGCAGAGTGTGCCTGAGCTTTGTTTCAATGTCTAATGGCAGAAATCAGCATCCCTGTGGGAATTGTGCCCAGGTAGAAGAACTGTTCAGCTTGGGGTCAGAGTTTTGGGAGAAGGTGAACAGGCTGAGGAGCATCAGGGAGTCAGAGAAGATCAACTGGTATCACTGAAATCAACTTGAAATCATACTTTGCCATCCCTGAGACACATGCATCAGCTGGCCGCAATGGAAGAAGTAAAGGACCCTCAACCTTCTTGCAACCACACAAAAAGAAGGAAGACCTAAGAGACAGGGAGAATAGAAGCATGTTTCTACTTGTGGTGGCAGGCATATCCCTTCCCAGCCTACTTTAGTCCCCCAAGTGTCCTTATACAACAGGTATAAGGCTCTGAAACTTGATGAGCAGTCAAGAAAAAAAGAAAGATTATTGCAGTAGATTACTTCCTTCTGTGGGGAACAGAGGCCCAATATGCTACCCAAACCCAACCCATAGGAAGCTGCTCAGGAAGAAGATGTTACTAGAAAACTCACTATCCTGACAGAGCACTCAGCTATTTCTGTTTTTCATGAAGGCAGCAATTAAGTAGCAACGAGAAGTCCTAGGGCAATCAAAAGAGACTTCAGGGCCTTGAAATGATTGGTTAAAAGACTAGTAGTGTTTTTCTGTCTCTTTCTAGTAGCAAGGAATCATATTGGAAGAAACAGACATATTCAGCTGATCAAAAAATGGCTCTGATTCTGGTGACTGGTAGAATTAGATTTGTCTGTGGAATGGTCTACACAATACCAGGCCTGCTGGTGCTTGGTGGAATACACCTTTCCCAGGGAGGGAAAAGAATTTTTGTGCAGTGATGACTGAAAGAACTTTAAACAAGCTTGCTAGGGGTAAAGTACAAAAATAGGCTTGCCAAGATTTCTTATTTGTAAATGGAGGGTGTCTGACATGTGAAGAGGTGACTGCTAGCCATCTTGGCCATAGTCACTGTGAAATAGTCAAGTTTAAAATCTTCGGTAGTAAGGGAAAACTTCCAGAAAAACATTGACTCAAAACATTGAAGTGAGTAGACTACAGGCTGCTCGGGAATAAGTTGGTGATATCCCCTGAGAACAAGCTTTTCATGATCGTGGGTTTCATCCATGCTGTTCAGTTTTTAAGTACCACTTCTTAAAAGCACAGGAATAGGTGATTCCAAAATGTCAGGAGTCAAGCAAGCAGGGCAAAAGGCTGTCCTGGCTGAACAGGGATCATTTTCTAGAGCTTAGGCAGAAGAAAGCACATGGCCACTGAAAGCAAGGTCAGATGACGTGGGAGGAATACGGAGATGCTATTCATCATTGTAGGGAGATAACTCACAAGACCAAAGTTCAATTAGAGTTGAAGCTGACCAGTATCTCAGAGGACAATAAGAAGGGCTTTTTGAAATATATAAACAACCAGAGATAATACTGCTCTGTTATTTGATGAGCATGAAGCGCTCACAAATAAGGAAAGCCAAAAAAGCAGGTATTTTTAATGCCACCTTTGTTTCTGTCTTCAAAACTGATGATGGGTCTGGGGTTCCCAGAGCCCTGTGGAGGTTCTCTCCTAAGTTGGGGAGACTGTGGCTGCAATAATGATCAACTCCCAGCAAACTCCAAGCTTGTGCAGGATTTGCTGCTCCGCCTGGATGCACATAAATCTATGAGGCCTGATAGGATTCATCCCTGAGTACAGAGAGCTGGCTGATGTCATTGTGACATTTCTATCAGTAATTTTTTAAGGGTCTTGGGAATCTGAAGAAGTGCCTATTGACTGGAAAGTGTCCCTGTTTTCAGGAACAATAGGAAAGTAGACTCTGGTAGCTACAAGCCTGTCAGTCTCACTTTAGTGTCTGTTAGCATTGTGGAGAAGATTATTCTGAGTTACTGAAAAACACTTGAAAGGCAACGCAGTCATAGATCACGGCCAACGTGGGTTCACGAGGGGAAAGTCATACTTAACTAACTTAATTTAACCTTTTATGACAGGGTTACCCATCTAGGTGAGTAAGAGAAGCCAGTTGATACAATCTTTTTGGATTTTAGCAAAGATTTTAATACCATTTCTCACAGTATCCTTCTGGATAAAATGTCCAGCATACAGCTAGACAAAAAATCATTGGATTTTATATCTGGGTTGGAGCAATCCTCGATATATATACAGAAAGAGATCTAAGGATTCTTGTTCAGGGCAAGCTAAATATGAGTCTACAGTGTGCCAGTCTACAGGCAGCTACAAGCACCAGTTTTACTCTTCCTGTACTTCATCCTTGAAAGCATCTGTTCACAAATGTATGCACTGCCAAAAAAGCAATGACAAGAACAAGGACTGGTTTTGCATCATGAGATATTTTTTTCTCTGGTAAGGTATGTCTCATGAAAGCCCAGTAAAGAGACACGATCAGATTTTTCTTTGAGTTTTATGTCTGATTGCAACTCTACACATTCTATTAAAAAATGTGCTGGTATATATGTCAACTGAAAATGGAACTGCAAATATACAAAAAACTGATTATTTGTTCAATAATCTTGAAACTTACTCTCAAGTTCCATTATCAAAATGGAAAGCAAGATTTTATCATAAAACATTTAATCTATTATGTTACTTTCATACAAAAAAAGAGGGTGCACTAGATACACAATTGAGTAAATTTACAAACTCTGAAAAAGAGAAGAAATGCAGGTATAATGTCCATCTTCTGTAATGGTGTCTTTATTGTATTATATTATTGTTTATTGTATTATTGAGCTGGTTTGAGCAATTATTACATGTATATTGCCCCCATATGTCACAAATAGCAGAAAAACTAATCAAATACATATTAAAAACTAAAACCAGATTATTTTATAGTTTTTGTGAGCTTTTTAAGACTTTGAAAAATAGAAAATACATCAGCACCACATGAGTATTCTGGATACTTCTTTTTCAGCTAATAAATTATTAAACTGGACAAGATATACAAGGAGCAGCTGAGGTCACTTCATTTGTTCAGCTTAAAGAAAAGATGGAGGTGTGACTCTATGGTCTATAGATTCCTGATGACAGGAGTGGAAGGACAGGTACTGATCTCTCTCTGCTGACCAGCAATAAGATCCAAAGGAACAGCATGAAGCTATGCCGGAGGAGGTTCAGGTTGGATAGTAGGAAAAGGTTCTTCACTGAGAGCGTGCTTGGGCACTGGAACAGGCTCCCTAGAGAAGTGGTCACATCACCAAGCCTGCTGGAATTCAAGAAGCTTCTGGATATCTCAGATATATGGTTTCTTTATTGGGTGGTCCTGTGAGTAGTGAGGAGTTGGAGAATATGACCCTTGTGGGTCCCTTTCAATTTGGGATATTCTATGGTTCTGTGATCCTTGTGAGCCCTTTCCAACTCAGGATATTCTATAAATCTATGAAACTGGAAATCAATTATCCAAAGAAGGACCTGGGGTTGTCAGTGGACTGAAAGCTGAAAATGAACCAGTAGTGCATTCTGTCAGCAAAGAAATATATATTAGCAGGAGTTCTGACTGATAGATCTAGGGATACTGTAAACTTCTTTCATTCAGCACTTGTTAGACCACATGTAGAATGCTGATCCAATTTTGGTCCCCAATTACAAGACAAATATTAGTAAACTGGAATGGGTCCAGCATATGCCCAGCAAGACAGACAAGATCTGGAGCACTTTCCATGAGCAGCCAATGAAGGAACTGGTGTTCTTCAGTCTGGAGGAGAAAAGCCTTCTGGCTGATCTTGTGGCAGCCTTCCAATGCCCACAGTAAGATTATGAGGAATATGGAGCTAGGCTATCACAGTAGTGCTTGGCAGCAGAAGTGACAATGGGAACTGAGCTGAAAAAAGTGATGTTCTGACTGAATGTAGGGAGATATATTTTCACCATGTGAATAGACATGCATTGGAATTAGGTTGTACAATGAGACTGTATAATCAACAACCTCCATTGTTTCCATGACCAGATTGGAAAAAGCCCTTAGAAGTGTGATCTAACCTGATTGTTGATGCTGTTTTGGAAAGAAGGTTGGACTAAACAAACCTTCCATCTACCTGAAATGTTCTGTGATACTTGATTGTATTTTTATGATTGCTGATTGATGAATACGTAAAGCTAATGAGAAGAAAAGAACTCTGTTCCTGAGAGGAAAAAAAAAATCCTTATAAAACCAATACTCCAACACAAACCAAATGGCTTCAAGACTCATGAACTAAAAATGAAAACTCTTTTTTTCCCACTTTTCCTTTCTGGCATTGTCTGTCATTGCATTTCTGACATACAGAGTGGCGGTATTTTTTTCTGAGAATTCCTATAGATGTGCCAAAGACAGTTTTTGGCTGAATAGCAAACTGTCAGGGAAAACACAGAAAGATTCTTTACAAAAAAAAAAGACCTCTTACAGAGATTATGAACACCTCCTTTTTTTGCTGATTCACTGACCTAAAAATTATGTAAGGTCCATTAAATGGAAACGTGCTGAAACAATCCAAAGAATGCTATCTATTTCAGGACTCCAGTAATGCAACTGGAAGCAGAGCCAGCAACGTGCCCTTCTGGCAAAGAAGGCCAGCATCATCCTGGTCTGCAATGAGAAGAGTATTGCCAGGAGGCCAAGGAGGGTGATTAGGGTTAGGAAATCTACAGGAGGAAACTGAGGGTGCAAAAATTCACATGAACTGAAAAGAACAAGCCAAGAGATTCAAGGGGACATATGCAGCTGAGATCCACTAAACACAAACATACACACTCCTGGCTCAAGCACTTTCTGTATCACTGCTCTGGGAAGGAGGAGAAGTGAGCAAATGACTGTATGGTGCTGAACCACCTGCCAGGTTAAACCACAAAAGGCATTTTGGCACTCAGTGTGGGACTCAAAGTGTTGACATAACAGCAGATCTGACTGCAGTGTGTTAACAAAAGGTGTTGTGGTAGTAATTGCTGATCATTATGTTAATTTTTCCCCTAATTTATGTAGACTCTTTGAGAGACTACTCATACTACCGTGTAGCATGTGGCTTGCTGTTTATTTTCCTTGCTGTGTTGTTGTTGTCTTCTCTGAGTTGCATTGAGGTTTCTCTTTTGCTAAGCTGTGTGGCCTTTGCCAATATTATGATAAAATTTGGCAGCTGAGAAACTAACATTGTGTGGGTATTTGGCATTGCAGTTGTCTTTGGGCAATGGAAACCAAACTGTTTGATAGTATTAGTAATTACAGCCTTTGCTTTGTCTCCTCAGGGAGCTTAGCTATAAAGGAGATAGAGGAGGGCACTTTCCAGCAGTTCCTCAGCCTCTCTTTCACTTTCTTTCTTTGCCTAGAGCTCAAGAGCAAGCTACTACAGCTCTTGAGAATTATGAACACCTGTGGGATGTTCAAACCAGAGTGCTCCTGTTGCAGTGTATCGTGAATGTGTTTCAGGTTATGTTTGAGATTAAACAATTATTTTAGAATATTGCCCAGAGATCTGCCCTGTGGTGGGATAGTTCTGTGTGGCAGAGAGTGCAGAATGGTATGGGCGGTTGTCTAGAGCACTGCACCCCCAGTGGTTTGAAACTTCACTTCTGAACAACTGCAGAAACCTGAAAAATTAATAAAACATTTGGAGAAAGTCTGCTGTTGCCCTAGCAATCCTAAAGAGGTACAAAACACTGTGGTGTGCTGAACTGGCCTGTGCCTACTGAGCTCTGTTCAACACTATTCAGCATCCTCAAGGCAAAGAGAACACATCTGGATCTGATAACAATGCAATGGACCCTCCAACTCCTATGGCAGCTGCAATTCCTGCAACAGGTGCTGTGGTTGCTCTGAGCATTGTGATCACTGCTCACCTACTGCCACTCCAATCCTTGTGATGAGTCCTGTGGTTGCTTCTGCTGCACGTCCTGTGCCTGTTCCAAGTACTGTGTCAAAACAAACAAACAAACAAAATTCCTCCCAAGGGAGGTGCACCATGCCCAGAAGTTCAGACCTGTGGTTGCTCAAGCCTCTTCAGTGAACTCAGTGGCTGCTCCAAATTCTCTGACAGGTCCTGTGGTTACTGTAACTCCTGCACTAAGCCCTGTAATTGCTCCAACTCCGATACCGATTCAGTGGCTGATCCAAGCATGTGATGAGACCTGTGACCACTCAAAACCACTCAATGAGCCCTGCTGTTGCTCCAGCTCCTGTGACAGGTCCTGCAGCTGCTCCAGTCCTTGTTACAGACCCTGTGGCTGCTCTAACCCCTGTGATGGGTCCTGCAGTTGCTCTGACTTTTATGACAGAACCAGCAGTTGCTCTAACCCTTCTGGTGGGCCTTGCAGGTGCCATGACCCTCACAATCAGCCCTGTGATCACTTCAATCCCTGTAAAAGTTCCATGGTTCAAACAGAGAATCAATCAGTGCCAGTATCAGCAAGATGAAGAAAAGTCTATGAAAGTCAGAACATTTAGCAAAGAGAAACTTATAAATTCAGAGAAGAAGCAGAAGAAAGTGGATCCATCACAAAGGCAAAAAGAGGAAAAAACAGAAACCATCTGACTCCTAACACTGAGTGAGCTGCGAGATTTGTGAAAAGATTATGGCTGTTGTACAGGTGATGGTGGAGCCAGTATCCTGGACCTAGCTGGCAGTGAAGCCCAGCAGCTGAGATCCCTTTATAGGGAAACTGGCACTGACAAAGCAATTGGAAAGGAGACACAGTCTTTCACCGAACGGCAGCCACTCTTGTCAGTCATGCGGGAAAGATGTCTCTTCAAGGAAGACCTGGTATTTAGCTCAGGCAAATAGATCACCATGGAGAAAGGCATTCAGTACTTGAGGGAAATAGCTTTGGTAGAGGTGGTGTATGGAATTAACTTGGTTGATAATACCAACTCCCAGAATCCAGATGACATTAAACATATGTGACTGATGTGGAGGAGAATTGTATGGAATGTACCATCATTGTATGCCAGCACCCTGTCAGGAATGAACTGGAAAGATAATGAAAGACCAACAGTGGATGAAGTGGTCACCCTACTTGGGCAAAATGAAGACTCTCTTTCTCCCTATGTGCCCATGTCTCTGTTGTGGAAGAAACTGACTCAGAAGTTTGAAGAGAAAGAAATAAGGCTCAGCGACTCACCTGCCTGTACATACCAGTATTTCAACCATTAGAATTCAGAGACAATAATGTAGCAGTTCAGACCTCTGGCTGCTTAGAGTGTATGAGTTTCTCACTGGCATCGTGGGGCAGCAATCAAAACAGCTGTGTGAGAGGTGTGAGCAGGTAGACAGTCTGCTCTGCCTTGTGAACCAGGTTACAGGATGAAATATGTTGATTAAAATTGTCACTGGGGACAAAAAGAAGGAAGAGGGAAACCACAATTCAGCCATGCACAAACAGGTTGTTTCAAAGGAAACAACACAAACCCATGGCAGTCTGTATTTAAACCCAAGGCAGACTGTGTCATATCAGGTTGAAGAAAAAAACTGCAAAGCTGGAGGCAAGAACACAAAGGAAAAGAGAGGATGGAAGCAAATCTGTGCCCAAAGCTGCAAATGAAAACCCTCCTTGCCTGCTCCACTCCACCAGGTGCCTCTCTACCACAGGTATGAGGTCCTGAATGTGAAAGACCTGTCTGAAGGTGGTAACAGCCCACTCAGTCCTGACATGCTAATAAAACCAAACCAGGAAAGGCCTTCCCCCAACACCAAGACTACTACACTGAAAAAGAGATGAGAACTGTGGGTGATTCCTGCCTACAGGGGGCTGAGCATCCAATATGCAGAACAGAACGTCTTCTGTCTTCCTCTTCTTGTAATGAGGCAGTGCCTGCTGGTGAAACAGGAGAAAGTAATGGGGAAGATCAAGGAAAAAGCCTAAAAAGAATTAAGGAGTTATCTTTTAAGGAAGTGACAAGAGCAACTGCTTAGCTGAAGTGCCTCTACACTAAGGCACACAGCTTGGGAAACAAGCAGGAGGAGCTGGAAACTACTGTGCTGCTTGAAAATCATGATATAGTTGTGGTCTCCAAAACCTGGTGGGATGGTTCCCACAACTGGAGTGTGGCTGTCAATGGCTATGAGCTGTTCAGAAGGGACAGGCAAGGAAGGAAGGGAGGAGGTATTGCTAACTACATCAGGAAAGGAATGGAATGTGAAGAGCTGTCCCTGAAGGACAATCATGAGCCAGTTGAAGGTCTATGGGTGACAGTTAGAAACTGAGGCAGCAAAGGAAGCCAATGTATGAATCGACGAATCGATGAATCAATGTAGGACACCAGATCAGGCAGAGCCTGTGGATGAGACATTCTACCTCCAGCTACAGGAAGCATCATGAATGCATGCACTCGTCCTGGTGAGGGACCTCAACCATCCAGACAGTTGCTGGAAAAGTAGCACAGCACAAATTCCACTTTTTAAAAATTCTCTTCCACATCCCACTGGGAAAGGGGAGAGTAAGTGGAAGTCTGTAGCACTTAGCCACCTACCAGCTTAAAACACAGCAAATGATAATTGTTCCAGATAACTGTCATATTTGCATTCTTTCCTTGTTGTTATATTCTTCTCAAGGCACTTGTTGTTCCTTATCAAATAAACCATCCTTTTGATCTGATGTAGTGCAGTCACTCTTGTGGATTAGTACATATTGTTCTCAGAGGTGCCTTTGGAAGCTGCTATAAAGGAAAAACTAGTGGCAGAATCTACACCTTACTACCTGAAGAAGCAATATTAAACCAGAAAGGTAAAGTGAATAAATCCAATAAATTTACCCTCATGAGAAGGTGAGAAGGCACGAGTTCTTCTTGTGTCTCAGTAATGTCTTCATATTCTTGAATGCTGCCATTGCCACTGATATCCCCCGAAGCCTGTGAAAATCCAGTCATAACAGCCAGTTCACAAAAATCAGAGGAAAAGCCATGTTCTCCAAGGAATTACCTACTTCTATGCAGAAAAAAACTTATATCTACGTATGTACGTACGTATGTATGTATTTATTTATTTTTCCCAGATTAGGGAAGCCTCAGTCTCATTATGATGTTAACTTGTTTTGATGCTTAGGATATTTCATGAAGATGAACTTTTAGATAACTATTAAACACTGTTCCGTTTTTCAAGGATGTTACAGACAAAAGAAAAGGATGTTTTATATTAAATCACAGCTTCACAGACTGCACAGTAAAAAAAAAGATACTTTCGTATGGAGAATTTAAAAAATTGTATTGTCTTGACAAGAGGATATAATACAGTTAGGCCTATGAAAAATATCCCATGGTAAATGACTTTGAAATCAGATATACAGGAACTGAGGACAGATAAAGAAATATTTGTAAGAATACTCACAGCTGGATCATCATCTTCACAATGATCTTCGGTGGCTCTTGGGTCAGATCTGATTGTCAGATGTTGAATTGAACCCTACATGAAACAAGAAAAGCAGTTCTAGGAAGTAATATTTCATCGAGTATGCACAAGAAAGAAAAACAAATGGAAAACAGACTATAAAATCCTCTACTTGCTTGGAAAATTATTTGAGGCATGAATTTATATTTTTAAATAAACTCAATTTAAAAGTATAAATATGTTTTCATGTTCTGGTCTTGCAATAAAATTTGAAGCTGCCAGACTATGAGTTTTAGGTCAAGAGAACTGTTAAATTGTTTACATACTTTGTCTTTCATCTGAAAGATAGATTTCTAGATTCTGGCTAAGAGCCTTTGAAGTGCAGCCTGCTTTTTTTCCTGGTTAAAAAGTACATTGCTACTGCAAAAATTGCAAGTGAAAATCCATAAAAAACAGGCAAAGGATTGTGAGGGAATACAGGTAATTGGTGAAGAAATCGGGGGAGAAACCAGCTTTAAACCTCAAATCAGAAAGAAAGGAGATGGGATTTTTGATTAACAAATGTTTCTGAGTTGCGATTTACATTTCTCACTCTGACATGCTGAAGAAGCAGGAACAGTCATTTTAATCATTTAAATCTTATCTTGTCTTTTAGATTGCAAAGATTCAAAGAAATGTGCAGGACATTCCCTTGTTATGAGGTTTCATGGAGTTGGGCATGATAGACACATAGGGTAGAAAGACAAGTATGGACGTCAATCACCATGATCTGTGTCTTCCTGTTCCGCTCACTCTACGTATTTTGCCTTCCTACTCCTGCACTTTTTGTAGGCAACAGCCTGAAGAAGCTGCCAGATTTAGCCTTTGTCTCCACATAACTCCTAAAAACGTATTTATCTGGTGACTTCAAGGAACTATAATGTTTACACTACGCAGCAACATTTTGGTTGTGTTCTGTGTGCTGACTGTGGTCACGGACGCATAGCAGATTTGCTCGTTCAGAGGTAAAGCCTGAGTCTTGGTGAGGAAAACTGCAACCTTTGTTGAGATAAGAATCATAGGACGGTTTGCTGTTGTTTAATATAACAAAATAAAATAAAATAAAAAGAGAGAATAAAGCAAATTCCAGTGTTTGTTTGTTTGTCATGTCCTACTTTCTGGCTCCCTGTTTCCACTGCTGCTGTCTTCTCTCCCTTTCCTAGAAGCTTTGGGGAATTATAAGCAAGGGAATATTTTGAAAGCAACTTTTCTGCTGGATTTGAGAATATTCCAGAAAGGAAAAAGAAACAAACATTGAGATTCTTTAGTTGTCCTATAATCATCAAAGGCCACAAAACTTATTACGTTGGTACTTCCTGAATTTGCAGACAATCTTAGATAGCAACTCAGTGATTTGAGTCACCTTTTTTCTCCTATAATTAGACAGTGGCCGAATCAGATATTGAACAATGTTAAACTAACCAGTTTACTGAAAACTACACATGAAAGGATATGCAAACAGATACCTGAGCTATCTCTTGGAAGTGATGAGTAATTTTCATGTTATGAGTAAATCATGTTTGGAAAACAAATTTTCCTCTCTTTCTTTTATCTGCAGCTCTGGAAGGCGAAGGAAGCAAAATGAAGAGCCCTAAGCTTTTCCAAGAAAAGTTACTGTCTGCCATATATTCCAACCAAGAAAGTAATGGTCAAATCTGTTACAATACAGAGGATGGGTATGAGGTACTGTAGACACTCTCTAGGTCTTGTGCCTGCGGTGCCTTCTCAGTTAAAGCTGTTTGCAGACGCATCATCACTAATTCAGCATGATTCGGTTCATTTCTTTTTTGCACATTTTTTACAGGAACAAGGGTGAGAATTTCCTTTTTGTTCCATAAAATCTGATTACAGTTATGTCCTTTTGTGTCTGGCAACCAGGGCTTTGGACAGATGAATTCCCGTGAGCCAGAACAAAATAGCAACTGACCTACAGAGACATCTGTCCAATCTGCTGTGAATTGTTTCTATTTGGGGCAAAATGTTCTTGTCTGAGCAGCTAATCAACAACGTAATTTTTCTACTTTGGAACAATTCTGACATATGATGCATGAAGAAATAAAAACACAAGAGCACTGTGTGAACTAAAGCATACATCACAATTCATAGCAATGAAACAGGCAAATGACTGAAATTTGTGTACTCAGTATAGCATACAAAAAAAGCCTGTTTCAGTGGGAAATACCTTAGGGTGTAATCCACTATGCATTCCTTCCACAGTATTTACAGATTTATTGGTGATAATCTCAGAAACTGATTATCAAACATGAGTTGTCCAGGTAGGGTACCCAAATCAACTGATTTTCTTGAATGTTTCTTATTCCTACTAGTAATCAGGGAGCTCCAATAGTCCAGTCATTCTAGCTGTCTGGGTAGGGAAGCATGAGCAGGCATTATCCTACATATCCCTTTCTACCATTTATTTGCTACTAATCAATATATCTGTGTAATTCCTATTAGAAACAGATAAATTACAGATTCCTATTAGAGACAGATAAATTACAGAAACACATTATTTTTGTTGCTTATCTACTGAAGCTCACAACCTGTCAATACACTTGAGCTTCGGAAATAATATCTTGTTTTCCTAAAACAAATATGTTTTTTTACTTTTTGTACTGCTCTACCTCTTTTTGGGAAGAGGTATATCATAAACTACCATGCAATTTTTGAAGTACAGAAGAAGTACAAAAGCAAGACATAAAAGGTGTGACATTTCCATTACAGTTGGTCACCTGCTCAATAACCTTGGAAGCTCAATGGCTGAGATTTCCAGTCTGAATACAGGTGAAAGACGCTTACATTCAAGTTTTGCAATAGTGGTTTAGGTCCATTCCATTTTTCTAGAACTGAAAAGCTTCAAGTAGTATATAAATTGTAGAAACAGCTTTATTTTATGTATATCTTTATCTCTTCCTGATATTGTGTAAAATAAACGTATCTAGCTAGTAAGAATTTAAAATATTGAATTTTTACAAAGGTATTATTCTCAGAAATTAAACAAATGTATATGCTGAAATCTGCCTTTCAGATAAAAGACTATACAAATGTAAGTGATATATTTACTTTGATATTCTTAGTACAAAAACCTAGCATTGGGCTCAATATCTGGATCAGATGTGAATTTATTGCATGGTACTTACTGTGAACTTTTCCAGGCCTGTGGCTCCTGCATTACCAACAAATATCCCAGAGCCAGACTCAAATACCAAGGCTCGATCCGACCTCTGAAACTGAACTCTCTGATACTCTTCACAGTCCATGAACAAAGCAATGCTATTTCCCTGAACAGTCACTGTAAATCTATTCCACCTATTAGTCATCACTGGCACTTTAAATGAAGCTGCTTCTCGGGAGATACTAGAGCCAGGCTCGGTATAATACATAATTATTCTCTGGGTGCTCTCATCAACTGGTGAAAGTCTAATTCCCAAGTAAATAGTTTTCTGGAAGGCATCTGTTATTGCAAATAGCACTCCTCCACGATCACTGTTTGGTTTCACTGTAACTACAATTGCAAAATCTCTATAGAAAGGCAATGGTATTATAGCACTTGTCAATCGACCAATGTTGGCATCTGTACCAAAGCTATACGCTGGAAAACCTCCGTAGCCAGTGACAAAGTAGACAGAAGGAGGGAGTGGAACTCCTATTAACTCTGTGAGATCAAGATGTTCTTTTGAGCCTCGTTCTGTAAAGTACGAGAAAAAAAAAAGTTATTTATTCTTGACGTTCACAACCCATTTAATTTCAATCATTTAATGAAGATCTTAAAAACTGTGAAGCAGTGTTAAGCTACCGTTGACATGCTGCTAATGCTTTATGTCCCAGTTCAATTAGTGCTTAAACATGCCTAGTTATGTGTATATGTCAACTTTTGTTATTTGACTAAACTGAGATTACTCACATGCTAAAAAAAGGTCCATGTAAACATTTGGTGAAACTGGGATGTAACAAGTACTTCCTACAAAAGATATTTTATTTTAGCTGGCTATAAACTGCAAATAAATTTTATGCAAGTGCTTACGGCATGTATTCAGCAAAGATTTTTTCAAATTAGATGAGAACAGAGAACAGGAAATCTATACAAAGTGCATAGCACAGTTTCACTAAGCCAGGATAAAAATTGCGGTGGGCTTGTTGTAACCCTTGCAATTAGCCCATCTTCCAAAGCCAATTTCAGATTTTAAGTCTTTTTTTTTTCCCCCCCCTCAAATTTATCTCCTTAGTTTCACTATGTACGTAAGAAAACCCTTCAGTATCAGAATGAGAGAATTTCTACTTAACATACAGAAGTAAGTACCTCTGGCAAACAAGCCCAGAGAGCAGATTCCTTACTGGCAATGCAGTAACGCTGATAACATCCAATTTTAACTAAAGTTTTGGGCAGGCATACTTTAACAGTATAACAGGAAAAAAAAACAAACATGCAAACTAGCATCCTACTAAGAAGTGAAAAACAAGCAGAAAAAGGTGCCATTTTTAATCCCAGTGAGTGATTCATATTTGAATCTATTCAGAGTTCCACTCAAAACTAAAGCCTTTCCCTTCTTTCTTCCGCCTTTGCAGTCTCCTCTAACCTTGTATTTTTAATTATCTAATTCTATCTAAAAGTCCCTGTTCTTTAGGTTGGTGTATATTTTCACTGGTTTTAGAACATTTATGTTATGCAAAAGCAAACAAAGTTCTTAGGGTATGTCTTAATGTAGCTACACCATATAAAACTGTAATGACTCATGCTGTAAACTCCAGTAACTAGGTAACTGTTGACTTTCTCAGCAGACATAAAAAAAATTACTCTAACTCCATGAAATTCAGGTTTTTAAATCACTTTCAAGATCAAATGCATCCTAGCTTTTTTTCTAAATTCTTCTTCTTTCTTGAATATCTTCAAACCATAGATAAAGAAGGGAGGTATTTGGAATTGTTGTGTAATTCCCTTCTTTCTCTACCTCAAACGCCACATTTCTCATATGAAGTACATCACACAAAAACTGCAGCATGGAAAACATGTCTTGTGTTAGAAAAATACAGATGAGGCAAACAGTCTTAAAACATCACTAAGAACAAATATAACCTGTGATCCAAGCTTCACGTTTCCATTTGTCTACCATGGCAGATGTAAAGAACATCTTCCAGGTAATCTATGGTGTTTAGGTGCTTCTTTGTACCTAGTTGGCCTGTTGTTCACCATGGCTACCACTACTAGTGTTCCTAAGGCTTTTTCCTGTGACAACATCTCTGTATTATGAAAATTGATTAAGATAATGGACGTGACATTAAGCAAAATCAGCTTGCTCAGATCACTGGTGTCACCTATAGTAGGATGATGATTATGTTACAGAGGGCAGGAGCTAAAAGCAGACCGCTTGCTTTCAAGTACATTAGCCACAACAGGTGGGAGCAAATCCCTAGATCTTTTTTTGTAAAAGTACGTACAGAAACTGAAAAGTTCACCTGAGGTGAGTAATGTTGAGGCACATGGAGCTGGCTTCTATTTCTACCTACCTGTCCCCAGATTCTGATACACTTTATGCTGAAATTATCCACATACACTACAGTCATGGTTTGAGCTGAAGTTTACTGGTTGTATGCAAACTAATGGGATGTACATGGTTCAGAATAGTTAACAGTTGGTTTCTTAGAATCTATGTTCTAAGTCAGTATTTTAATTTCAGCTCAGGACATCCTGGCAACCTGAAATACCTCAAGTTCAGACCTGTGTCTGCTTCCAATAACTGTACTATTTCTACACGCCCCTCTGCCCCACTGTTCCAAGCACTGTGTTTTTGTATTAGCTAATCAACTCAGGCATGATAATTGGCCATCCAGAACGAGAAATTGAACAATTAATCTCACAACTTTCACCATAGATTCTCATTAAGGTACTAAGGTGCTACTAGCATATCATGAGGTTGGAGGTTTCAAGCATACAACAGGGTGGATGCCTACTATCTGCTTACATAGGGAATCCTCTGTCACAGAGGACTTAATGGGATGAAAATAAATGGAGAAAAGGACAAAATTATTTGAAATGAAGAGAATTTTACTGACAGTGCCACCTCTTTGCCTGCAGTCTAATCCCTCAAGGGAGACAACGACCTATGCCCAGGCTGACAATTTGAAACAAAACTGTACAAAACAATAAAAAAATGATTGTAGGGAATAATATAAAAGTCAGTTATAAAATGACTTCTTGTTCCATGATTTTTAAGCATTCCCAAGTCTTTCATAATGTGTATATTTTTGTAGCGTGGATTGATACAGCATCTTAGCCTTTTTAAACTTATTCAGCTATTGTAACTGCAGCAGTTATATAGGCTGAAAAAATCCAAATGGAATAGTAATGGAAAAGGTATGCTAGTCTATCCGAACCCTGCCAACAAAGGGAACTGAAAAGCTTTGCTTAGAATACCCAGTAAAAGTCAGGTAAAATATGTACAGATTGCACTGCGTTCTGAAACCTTGCAAGATGGTTCTGATGAAAGAGGAAAATAGAGAGAGGTTTTTCACCTGAACTATACTTCTCTTATTCATTACTCATATGGAGTATCAGACTATGTGTTGCAGCATTTTTCATTGTCCTAGTGTCACTGCAAAGATATAAAAAATGTTTTACCTGTCCCAAAGATGAAACAAATTCTCATCTCTTCTCTGTGCATTAGCTTCAACATTTGCTTGCTTCCACTGACTGGATGAAGTCTGAAATTCTCCATACATAATTTTTAGAAAGTATCAAAGCGGTATTTAGAAACAGAAAAACTAGCTCCTTCTCTAGAAGATATTTTTCCTCAGACATCTTTTTCCTTTTCATCTTTAGGTGAAAAGAATATTAGGAGTTGTGTTTATGGTGGTTTAACACTGGTAGGTAGCTTAGCTTTACCACGTTGTCTCTCACTCCAACTCCTCTAAAGGGCAAGGGGAGAAAATGCGTTGAAAAATGCTCACATGCTGAGATAAAGACAGAGATCACACATCAGTTACTGCCACAGGCAAAACAGACTAATCATAAGAGAAATGAAAGTAATTTATTGCCTATTGATGACAAGTTAGAACAGTGAGAACTGAAAATAAACTCCTTCCCATCCTCCCACTTCTACATGCCTTCCTTTGAGAGTCATAGGCAAACTGGGAATGGGAGTTAAGGTCAGTCTGTAAAGCTTTGTCTTTGCTGCTCCTTCCTTCTCACTCTTTTTCCCTGCTTCAGTATGTGGTCCTTCCAATAGATGTCGTACTTCCCAAACTGATCATACTTGACTTCCTACAAGCTGCTGTTGAAGAACTGCTCCAACTTGGGTCTGTACCCTGGGGCCCATCCTGCATAAGCAGATTCCCCCAAACTCCAATTTCATCATAGACTTCTTTCCACAGTTGCAGCTCTAGCTGGGAGCCTGCCCCTTTATGGGCTCCTCCATGAACTGAAGAGGACACTCAGACATTGTGAGTGTCTACTATTAACCACACTGCCAGGGAAATACATGGATGAATTGCAAGCAATATGGATACATATGTGAATCAGTTGCCCTAGTCTTTTTAGGAGATTTCAGTTTCCCAGACAGAAACTGGGAATATCAAACTGCTGTGACAAGCAAGTCTGAAGAATTCCTAAAGCACAATGAAGACAATTTGCTTTGATAAACACATAGTGAGCCAACTAGAAAAGATGATCTCCTAGATCTGTTTGAGAATAGAGAAGACCTTGAGGAGATGTGATGGTAGGTGGCAGTCTTTGCCACAGCGATCATGAAATAGTTCAAAATTGTTTTGGTGTAATGAGACAAAAGCTCACCAGAGTTGCCAGTTGGCAGCTTAAGAGAACAAATTTTAAGTGACTAATAGAGCTAGTTAGCAGTGTTCACTAGGAATTGGCTCTTCAGGGTTTAGGGATCCATGAGAACTGGCCCCAATACCACATTTAAAGGACAAGGAACAAGCAATCCCATTATGTAGCAGGTCAAGCTATTTATAGCAAGCCATTTTATTGAAGATCTCAAGCAGATAAACTTCACAGTGGAGGCTTGTGATGGGAGACTCTTAGTTGAGGGTCATAACCATAGCAAAATATCACGAAAACAAGGACAGGGAGAGTTGGGGTGCTCCACGTCCCTCCCTTTCCTGAGCAGGAATGGTGGAGCCCCTGATGAGACGTGACTCTAACATGATGTGAGCAAAGTCAGTAGTATTGGCAGAAGCTCCCCACATATACAAAGGCAGCCCCTAGGGAGCGTGAGTAACTGGAAGCATGGCAAATAGGATGTAAAACAGGGCACTGCATGTCAGTAGATCATGACCCGGCAGTTTGCATGGCAGTTCATGTGGGAGGGCAAGAAGAGAGGATGCACTTTCCTCTCCCCACTTGAGAGGCCAGCTCAACTATTGGTCCTCATCTTTTCAGTAGAATTAGATCTAGCAGTGGTCTACATTCAGCCAAAAGGCACTGCTAAAAACAACACGGTTACTCAGACCAATCACCCACACAAACACGCAGCTGTCCAGGTCTCTGGCTATAGGGAGTGCTTGAGGCTATTGCAAGTATTGGATAGATACTGCTTATGTGCAGTGTGAACAGGTGGGTGATCTAAACACCTGCACAGCTAAAAGAGGAGGTAGAAAAATTAAGAAGCATCAGGGAACATGAAAGGGAGATCAGCTAGTGGAGCCACACCCTTCCACTTCTTCAAGAAAGTCACT